ATGCCCCATTAACTATATGGACCTTCAATGCTGCAGTTCTTCCTCCTGATGTTCAGGCCCGCTTCAATGTAAAAATGGCCAATGGGTTGCTCACTGGTACTCAACTCAATACCCCATTTGCCACTGGAAGCTTTTATCATGAAGAAGGCCCTACAGCTATTGTTACAATTGATGGGTCACTCTATATCAGCCCACCAGACGGTGTTCCTGATGAAAAAGGTCTCTTTCGCTCTCCTGTGACATGTGATGATGATACCCATACTGGAGTCCGGAGTTGGATGCAGAATTTTGTAACTCATTGTCACAAACATGGTATTTATGTCCATCCTTTTGCATGCTTCCGTCGAAATCACGGAGGTGCCCGTGGTTTCACTGTTGGAGCTGCTCGCGATGATGATCTACCACTCCGAATGGCAGTTCCATTGAAAGAATGAAAGGTACTTTGTTTCAACTCCTTTCTCAGAAAGGAATGTTTCCCTCTGGCAGTCGTCTTCCTGGCATTGTGGCATCATGTTATGGAGATGGATACAAAGCCATCAAAGGAATCCTGATGAAATCCCATCCCTCCTTTCATGACCAACCAGCTACCTTGATTCGAGGATACCCCAAGCAACGCGATGAATCACTTCTTCAGTACTTTCAACGATACACAGACTACCAGCAACTTCGAGCTCTCATTCAAGATATCTCTTTAGATCTTACCAATGAGACTGAAATTGACAACTTCATTGCTGGCACCAAGCATGCAGATTTCTTGAATCGATGCAGTCGTGATGAACGCCGACAAGCTCACAATCTCCACAAGTATCAAGGCCATCAAATTGTTGAAACTTTGGAGAAGATGCTTGCAATGGTTGATAGTCCTGCCCATCAAACTCGACAGTCCATTCCACGATCCAGAAACTATTCTACTCCCATTCTCCCTCTTTTTAAGAGCACCATAGATGACACCACCAGGAGGACCTCTAGGAGCACCGCCAGCAGCACCTCCAGGAGCAGCACCAAGTGGAGCAATTGCAGCTGCAACAGCACGTCCAACATCAGCAGCAGTTGGGATGGCACCAGCAACAGCAGTAGCAATGTCAACAGCTGTAGGGGGGGCAGGAGGAGCTGCAAGAGCAGCAGGGACTGGAAATGGTCCTGTAGCTTGGAAATGTGCCCAGTTCATATAGGTGATGACTTCCTGTTCATTGAAATGAAGATTGATGGTACTGAAGCTGATGGTGACTGTAGTGTGTCCTTGTGTTGCAGCTCGATTAACAGCAGTTGCAAAGCTGCCCCGAGTAAGACGGCGAGGGGCATTGGCTCCCCAAGCAATTGCAAGATGGAGTCGATTTGCAATAGGAGGAATCACTGTGTCGGCATTGTGAGTCTCAGTTGCACGAGTGATCAGGAGATCGTCAACAATTTGTCGTCTAATCTCAGTAATCAATGGGCCTTCAGCAATGATGTTGGCATCTGTTGGAGGGGCTGCCTGAAAGAAGTTCGCTGGATTGGGTAGGAAGTCACTGTAGAGAGAATTCATTTGAGTATGTGCAGTCAGACGACGATCATTGTCCGTGAAGACGAAGACGTAGTCGACAATGGCAGAAACATCAACCATGATGGATGTTCAAAAGAAATCGCAATAGCTTCCGCACTTGAGATGTATGGGTTGGTGTTAACGTCTTTATCCTGACACCAGAGAAAGTCACAAGCACTTGATGGGGGCTGACGACTTGAGGGACGGAGAACCTACGACTTGAGGGACGGACAACTGAATAGGATCGGACAAATGGGGCCGTAGTTCTTCAACCGTAGCTCAAACGAATCAATGGGTATCGTAAATGAGTCTAGCAAGTCGTTCCGGACGTATAGGGTATACAGTAAGCAAAGCGTGGAAGCGGAGCGTGGAGTGGAAACTTGGCGTGGAGTGGAAACTCGGAGCGTGGAGTGGAAACTCGGCGTGGAGTGGAAAGTGGAAACTCGGGCGTGGAGTGGAAACTCGGCGTGGAGTGGAAAGTGGAAGATTTTTAAAGCGTGGAAAACGTCTTCAGAATTCCTGGGAATTCCGCTGATGTCAGTGTTCCGTGGAATTCTGCTGACGTCAGCGTGTTCTTTTCGAATGACCGTTTCGTGTAGAATGACCGTTTCGTGCGTTGGTTGCTTTCGTGGAGCGAAAAGAGAGAGACAATGGCGCTTTTCAAGGTAACAAGCGGTTGTTGTTGTTGTTATTTGAGATAGCAGACATGCAATAGACTCTCATGCAGTCGTATAGCTGTCTTCGTATTGATTGGAAGTGGAGTAGGAGGCGAGAACGGTCGATCGACCTTTCGGTCGGTCGTGGAGACTCAAGTAAGCGATCGTTTGTTGGTTAACAAAGGATCGAATGGCAATGAGGATAGTAGTAGTAATAGTAATGATAGCAGCGTTGGCATTAGTAGCGGTAGCAGGGCTCGTAACCTGTCGGAGGACTCTACGACTAGTAACTTGTATGTAACAAAGAACTAGAAATGAAAAGAGTGAGAGGATCGCTAATCGATCCTCTTTGGCTACCGGTTGACTGACAGACTGTAAGTCGCGTGACAACAGTACACAGTTTCACAAGATATCAATCCAACGCCTCTGTGGCTGATCGACACGCCGCAGGATGCTGTGCCTCTTCACATAGCCGTACCGGACCGTTACTTGTCGTCCCTTTTAGTGTGCTTATTCCCGTTCGCACCCCTCAACATGCAGCTAGCCGTGGCTGGCAGTTAGCTACTATCATCATCGCTGTCACTGTCATCAAAGAAGCTGCTCTTCTTCTTGGCCGGTGGTTTTGGGGGAGGTGTAGGCGTTGCTGCCGGTGCAGGTGCGGCCTTCTTTGGGGGACTGGACGAGTCTTCCTCCGAGCTTGAATCCAAGAAAGACTTTTTCTTTTTCTGCACAGCAGGGGTAGGTGTAGCAGCTGGAGGTGGCGTTGGCGCCGGTGCAGGTGCGGCCTTCTTTGGGGGACTAGACGAGTCTTCCTCCGAGCTTGAATCCAAGAACGACGACTTCTTTTTCTTTGGTGCTTCAGCAGGGGTAGGTGTGGCAGCTGGAGGCGGCGTTGGCGCCGGTGCAGGTGCTGTGGCTTTCTTCTTTGGGGGACTAGATGAGTCTTCTTCTGAACTGGAATCCAAGAACGAAGACTTTTTCTTTGCTGGTGCAGTTGCCGGTTGAGCCGTTGGAGCTGGGAATGGTGCTTTTGCTGCTACCTTCTTCTTCTTGGAACTACTCTCTTCAGACTCTTCTTCCTCAGATGATTCTTCCTCCGACGACTCTTCCTCTGAGGATTCTTCGTCGGAATCCGAGTCAAACGCAGATTTCTTCTTCTTGGGGGCTGGTTTTGGTTTGGCAGCAGCCTTGGTACCTTCTTCCTTCGCCTTATTTTCTCTCTCCTCCTGCTCGGCCCTGAAAGCATCTTGTTGTGCCTGGATCTTGGCGGCTTCCTCTTCTATTGCCTTGATTCTGGCTGCGGATTCATCTGCCTCTCTCGACAACGTGGCCTCCATCATATCTCTTTCCTTTTGCTTCCTCTCTTCTTCCTCTCGAAGTGCCTTCTCTCGCTCTTCCTGCTCTCGTCTCTCTCGCTCTTCCCGCTCTTTTGCCGCGGCGGCAGCACTTGCATTGGGACTGGTTCCAGCCTTGTTTCCTGAAGATTCGACAACAGTCTCGTCTGTGGATTGCTGTCCAATTTGTCGAAATTTGGTCATCCACTCAGGCGAACCAGTGCTATCTCCAACTGTGGAAGCTGCAACGCTTGGTCTTGCCCTGGCAGCGCTGGAACGTCGTCTCTGCTGTGCTTTCCACGGAGGACTGCTACTTGCTGCGGATTGTGGAGCCGGTGCTGGCTTTATATCTTCTCGTGGTCTGGGCGATGTAGGCTGCGAGGGTCGTAGATTGCTACTAGATCCGTGACCGTGTGCGGAACCTGACGATGGACGTCTGCTGGTCCGGCCGCTCGGTCTGCGTTGCTGTTTGCCACCTCCACCGGGTGAGTTTTTGATTCCTGGACTTGGGATCTTCTGCGTAAGGGAATCAAAAAACAGTCCTTGGCTCCTACATTTTTCTTCAAGATATTGGATGTGGTCTTCCTGGTTCTTCATCATCTCCTCTAGTCCTTTCTTCTTTTCCTTCAGGTCCATACAGGCGAGAACTGCTCGGTTGATTTTGATCTTCATTCGACGTCTCTCTTGGCGATCTTGTTCACTTTCCACCTTGTTCTTTTCTTGTGCTGGCGGACCAGTACCAGTTGTTCCCTGCATTTGTGGTGTTTGCCCATGTGGTCCTTGTTGCCACCCTTGTGGAGGCCAACCCTGTTGGGGCCATCCTTGCTGGGGCCACCCTTGATTCTGTGGTTGTGTGGAACCCTGTGGATGAGCACCCGGTTGAGACCAGCCTTGCGGGGGGACAGCAGCCTGGTTGGCAAGGTATCCCATGCCCTTCAAGTACATATACATGGAGTCTAGACTTCTTGTTTGTAGCTGCCCATTTTCCATGACAACCAGCTGCATCCCTGCACCGGGACCCATCATTGCGGAGGGGAACATCTTGTCGCTTGCTTACTAACTATAAATGTATAATTTTGTTCCTCCTACACTGAAGGATTGCTTTTTGTAAACTCCCTTTGATCGATTGCAACCCCGATGATGAGTTTATTACGCTTTTGTCGTTTTGTTCGGAACAAATTTGGGTGTGACCACCGAAAGCGTCGAAGAGCAAAGCTTTCGCTTGGATTGTGTTGCTTGGATCCCCAAAGAAGCCGGCAAGAGCTGTAAACGCTACTTTTGGACATCTCCCTTGGGTTCCGGTGTTGGTTCAGGTCGCGGATCCGAAGCGGACAAGCCAGAGCTTGTATGCATACGAAGTACATGTATGGATGGAACCAGGAGCGGGGATGGGAGGTAGGTCCAGGTCTTCCTACAGTTGGTCCTGGTGTGGCGCCCGGAACGAAAGCCCTTAGGGGATTCTCAACGCGTCCACTCGGAATACCACAGGTTTGCCAGAGATTATTGAAAAGCGATAAATGGTCTCCCAGCCATGAAACCAGAAGTTGGGACTAAAAACAAAATGGTTCGATACCAGGAGAACGACAAGACTAATCTTGATAGTTGCTAGTCATGACATTTAGGTGTTTCAAAAGGCAACAGTTGGCAACGGAGTGTATGGGGTCATACATGCAGCACAGCAACGAGGGGTTCAGCTTCCCTCCCACTCATCACATTGTTTGTTTGTTTGTAAAGCATTGTGTAGGTTGCTGTCATCATAAAGGATTCAACCACTGGGCGAGTACCACTGGATTTTTGGAGACTTCTCTGACCATGTCCTTGAATTCATCACTGACAGACATGTTGAGGGGTTTGTGAAATCCAGTCATGACGCTCAAATCAGACCTCCAAGATCGATTTAGGAGCAGCACATCTGTTGCCGTGGTGGCATAGGTTGTATGCGTTCCATAGGTTGTCATTGTGTCCGTGGTAATCTCTGAAAATACCGAAGCAGTTCCATCGCCTACCGAGGATGCATCTCCATAGCTGGTGTATCGTGTCTCGTCGTCGTCGTCATCATCCGTGTCACTGTGATGTTGTAGGTGTTGCACACTAGTCGCGACAGTGGTGTCATCGTCCTCATCACTATAGCTTGTGTCCGGAGCCACCGACACTGGCATGTCTTTGTGAGGGGGTGAAACATTTTCCACGGGCACTGTACTGGCTTGAGAGTCATGACTCATCATGAGATTGCGGTAGTAGTCGGAAACACTCGTAGTGGTGGGGTTCCTGGCAAGAGTATGTGGTTCGGTCATGTTGCCTGTAGATAATACTTCATCCGCAGCGGTGGAGTGGTCATCCAAAGTGAATCGACTTTCCACACCATCAGCATCCTCAAAGAAGCCAATGGAATACTTGTCCCCACTGGGCGGTTCTATTTCTAGTGAGTCGCCAGATTGATCATTGGGATTGATGGCGCTGTTGTTGTCATGATCATCTTCCACGGTAGTGTGCGCATTCTCCACAATGTCACCATTGTGACTCATGAACAGGGGTGGTCCACCATTTTCAGCTTCATGTTGGGACAGTGTACTATCTCGGTCATCATCTAGATAAAGCGAGACGACTTCTACAGCCTCTCCATTGGGTACCTGCAACAGCAACACATCTCCTTCTTCATCCTGAGCTCCTGCTGATCCTACTCTTACAGTATCCATTCTCGTCTTACTGCTGTTGGTCCGAATTGGCTCAATGACTTGACTTCGTGCACGACTCAGAAAGCCTCCACGGTGCTTGTCCTTGTCATTGCCAGTTGTTGCACAAGTGGCATCTTCTCCAATGTTTGCCAGAGTTGTTGGTGGTCGCCTGCTGTTGATTGTGGACAGAGTCTTGACGGCCAATGCTCGCTTGTGTTGGAGAGGAATATGATGGGGATTCGACTTGGCACACCAATCACTCTCCTCTTCTTCGGGGATTGTCTCCTGGTACTTGGTCTTGCGTTTGATGATCTTGCTACTGCTGGTACTGCCGCCTGAGCGAATGCGACGAAGCTGACGAAAAGACCTGCCGCTGATGTGTCTGGCAAAACCAAAGGAATCTTGTCGTGACGTCTGGGACCGTCGAATGGAACGGGATTCTCCTCCACCTCCTCCTCCTCCGGCACCTACCCCTCGATGCATGGTGACCTGTCTACTGTACAGTACTTCCAGGTGTTGCTGTTGCTCTTGCTTGCAGTAGCGACGATCGAAAGAGCGGCAACCCGTTTGAAATGGGCCATGGTTTCATTCGTTTTCGCACCACCGGAAAAAGTGTCGAGCGTGCCCTCTTTCGCTTTCCCGCCTCTTCGATGAAGGTTCCCGCCACTGCCGCGAGAGTGTGTGCGTCTTACATTTTTAATTACGGTATTAGGGTTGAAGTGAAATTGTGATCTTCAACAGAGGAAAAGAACCGCATCGAATCAAATCCGAAGGCCGCGACACCAAGTCGCATGGCATCCAGTGAAGCCTGACTACTGTACGTACTTCGAGTACAGTGTACATCGTACAGCGTCCGGATCCGTCTGAGTGCAAAGTAAAGTAAAGTAAAGTAAAGTAAAAGTATAAAAGTATAGAGTATGGTCGCTAAAGTACTACAATACTGAGAACACTACAGTAAAGTACTAATATGGAGCTTTTACAGCACTTCTTAAAAGAAGCCTAAAATGGCAAATCGTGCGTTTATAGCCGTGTCACCCTGAGCAGAGTCCGCTCCACAGCTCTCCACTCTCCACTCTCCACACACCATCAGTCCGTCCATGTTCCGAGTGCGTCGCGGCTGTTGACAAATAAAAAGAACACTTTGCTTGTGAAGCCTTTGTTTAGATTCTCGGAGAATTTCACCAACGCTAGCATGAATTATTCAGTACAAGCAGCAACAGGAGGTCTTTAGCTATGGAGGCTAGCTAGAGTACAGTAGTACCTTGTGAAGCTCTCGTGATAAGTTGCTGACTACTTGTGAGGAATTATGAAAGGCATCTCGCTCTGAATGAATTCGGAGGAAGCTGGCAGCGAAAGAACGTACGCACTATCATATGTCATACATGCAGTATCTAGATTTTGTCGACATCATGCACCCTGATAATAAGAATCGAATGATATCCTTACACCCTCCAACCTCCCAGTCAATGCAAGATGGTTAACCTGGGTTTAACCACCTTAGAGCAGGGAAGTTGTCGAAGGGCCAGGCTGAGGCGACAAGGAAGAGCCAGAAGTTGGCACTAGCTAGATTCCATGCAATCAGGGGCGACAAGCGACCAATTGAGGACCAATTCGGCTGCCAAAGGGCTTGACCTGTCTAATGGTGAGCTAGTAGCTAGCTGGGGGTCAGCAGGAGTGACAGTCATCAGGCTTGAGATAAGGACTTGATGAGGCATAATGAGTGAATAATTCCTGCTACTGTATTCCATACAACCTTTAGAAGAGCAGCCATGCTTGGCAGAGACAGTATTTCTTGCCTTGGCTGATCCTACACTATGGTCCGACCTTACGATGCGTACAACTATTCTATAACGAGGCCTGTCAATGGACAAGCTTGTAACTCTAGCTGGCTAGAGCATTTTCAATGGGACCCAGCAACAAACTGTTACATTCTACTAATAGCTAGCTAGCAATACAGTCGTATGCATCCACAGCAGACAGTGATAACATACGACTGGGCTACTGGTACCGGTATCGGGAGTCTTAGTATCAAGGTGGCGCGTTGCAGGCTTCCGTGGCGAACAATGTCGTCAGCAAAACTAATTTATTAAATCTTTTGCCATCACGGAAGACGCGAACATGACCACCTGTTTTGCAGTCCCTGCTTACACAACGTGGTACTAACTGCCAGGCAACGTCTGACTAGCGAGGACATTTTGGACTACTCCTTCATAAGTTGTGAAAACTCACCTGCACTGAAACGGCAACCACTCTTGGACTATTATAGTACTAGTACTTTGTGTACGGATGTACAGTCGTCCTCTCTAGAGAGAGTTAACTTCCGGTATTTTTTCTATTCCTCCGAGTTGCATCTGGTTTTTCAGAGCGCCATTTCCATCCAACACCATCCAACACCTTCGCGGATACCGTAGAAAGTTCGTGCAAATAACTCGCACAAGGCCCGCAAAAACAACAAAGGGAAGTTGACCGTACACACTAAGACTTGAGCCGGCTAGCTAGCAGCTGGAAAAGGGTTTGTTCCATTATCTGCTCAGCCGAATATCAAGACCTAGCTAGTAGTACACCTTCGCAAAGCTATCATCTCATCATGAAGAGAGCTGCTCAAGATGGTGGCGATGACCGCCTCAAACAAAAGTCAAGACATGGCGAGAGTGATGTCTCCGCTCGTAAGTCAACGTAACCTCAGTGGGCGGCAATGGCGGGTGACTACCGGCGCCCGGTGCCCCCCAACAGAAAATGACCGCCGCCTTCCTTTGTACCCTTATTACGCACCAATTCTTCTAACCTTGCCAACCCCATCGCATCGATCTATATTATGCAGTAGCTGCCGTTCCATCCGCAGCAGGAATAGAGCCACCTGCGGTTGTTCACGCCGACGACGCCAAGGGAGATGACGATTCGGTGGATGCAGGCGACAAGAAACCAAAGGCCGTCCCAGCAGCAGAGACTGATCAGCAAACCAACAGGCGCAAACCCAAGAACTTTGCAGAGCGTCTGATGGAAGGTCTCCAGAGTGGAGCGGCGCAAGACGCAGTTTGGTGGGTAGGAAATGGCGAGGCTATTGCGATTAATCCGCGTAACCTCAAGGAAGGAGACTTCCTATCTACGCACTTCAAGGTGAAAGACTACAGTGTCTTTATACGCAACTGCAATCGCTGGTAAGTGGCTTAGAGCTGGGCTTTTTCTCGTGTTCTTATCGCTGGCTAGCTAGCCACTATTGCAGCCGAGTCATCCAGTAATCTGATTGATTGATGTCTTACTATCTGATTGATTGATTGATGGGCTGACCCCTGCTCCAAACTCTCTTTTTCTCATCACACAACACAGGGGCTTTAGGAGGACTATGCAATACCCAGTGGAACAGGGTGTGATCACCTATCAGTGCAGTCTCTTCCAGAGGAATCAGCAAGAGCTCTGCCGTCACATGCGCATGGACAGCGACGTGCAGGACGTCTTTGTTCGTCATCGACAAAGCGCGGGCGACGACGTCCCCTTTGACCCTAAGCGAATTGGGAGGGCTAGTTATGCCTCTCGAGGTGTCACAGCGCCTGCGGCATCCGGTCGGTGGCCTCCTCGTCAAGACGAACAGGATGGATTGGTGAGGGTAGCTGCGAAAAAACAGACCGCGCAATTACTTTCTCGTGATCATTTGGCGAGGGTAGCTGCGAATCATCAGACCGCTCCCGCGGTTCTGCCAAGCAGCAGCAACAACAGTCTGCTGCAATCACTTTCTCGTGATCAGATGCTTCGGTTGCTGCAAAACCCCGATTTGGCAAAACGCATTTTGGACGCACAGTCCTCTGTTGCTGCGGCGGATTCTCCAAGCGGATCCGCTGCGACTCCTGCTGCCCATGCTACGACGGAAGCTAGGCTTGCAGTAGCAGACTTGCTTGCCCAAGCGTCCGGAAGGGCATCGGAGGAACAAGACACTCCGCAAGAAAAGTTGTTGAATCAGATCTTGGATCTCGCCCAAGAGTATTTGGATCATCCAACTCAGCCTCCTCCTCATGAAAATAGCGAGTCCATTGGTATGGTTATGCGACTTTTGAAGATTCAGGGCGACAAATACAAGGAGGAGAAGAAAAGGCGGGAAAGGAAAGCGCATATTGCTCCTAGTGGAGGAGCCCTCGACGTCTTGAGGAATCAATTGGTGAGACCTGATTCGGCAAGCCGTCTCTTGAAAGCGGAGCAAAGCGTCCAACGACCTGCTAATTCGCGTGCCCCGGGCACTGCTCCTGTTGCCGGCTCCTTCTTGGCGGAAATTTTGCAGCGGCCACAGCAGCCGCAGCCGCCCCTTCTTCCACCAGGTTTCAGCCAAAGTGGAAATAGTCCGCTAGTTGAAAACCTGCTCCAACAATTTCTGGCTCAAAGAGCAGCTACAACATTGTTCTCTCCGCCAGCTCCAGCACTGCCCCCAACGGCTCCAGCACGGCCCCCAGCAGCTCCAGCAAGCAATCCTGACGCAGTCAACCAATTGATGCACCTGTTGGGATTGCAACAGAACCGGCACCAGAATTAGGACTGCCCTTTAATCCGTGGAAACAGAATGGCTGTTCGCGACCGTGCTTCTCAGTGTCCGCGTCGATGCGGAAGGCCACTTCGAGACGCACATTGGTCCTTGAATTTTTCATTTTTTCATAAATCAAATTTTATTCATACGCCCGCTGGGTCGTCTCCGTTTCCATAAATCTTTTATTACCAACACCTGAAACAGTATTCGCGCGCTCCGCGCGCTCATCCCTTTCTTGCTTCGCCCCGAAACCGAAACAGCTCCCTCGCTCATTCATGCGAAACTTGTGTGAAAAGCGAGGCGACTTTCATGCAGCTCCCTCCCTCATTCATGCGAAACTTGTGTGAAAAGCGAGGCGACTTTCATGTGCATGTACATGCGTTGACTGTATCCCGTCAATACAATACTAGTCAAATACGTAGACTTCTACAGAGGCCTCTAAGTATTGCACGCCGGGTATAATTCAAACCTCTGCCCCCAACAGTACCCTTACCCCTAAAGCAAGTCGTCTCCGGGAGACGAAATTGCCATTTTGTCTGAGAACCAGTTAGCGTTTCCCAACCCAGCTTGCCTGCTACTCTAGTAGCTAGCTAGCTGGTACAGGACGCGGTACGGCCGATAGCTGGCTACTACGACTGTAGCTAGCCAGTCAAACTAACTAAGTTTAGAGGTTGCCACTGGACCTTTGAACAACTCCAATGAGACTATCTACGAATTGCCATTCCCGACAGGTCTGTATTTATTTCCAAGAATACCCCTACCAGGTACCTACTAAAGTAAACAACATCTTGACAGTCAAATGAATGGGCTGATGTCATCCAACCTACCGGGCAGTACGTATGTAATCTATTTGCAGTTTACTAGCTATTAGTAGTACAGTACCTGGCGGGTGCTATGCTAATCAATCCCCCTCAGTTTGTGTACTCGAAAGTTCTCGTGGTTTCGTATCCCCATCCCCACCCCCGTCAGCGAGTTCTTCCTCCTGCTCTCGCATCAAGGATAGAACTTCATCGTCCGGTTCATCCCCACCATCCCCATTACCCTGAACCACATCCTGTAGAGACGTTGACCCAAGGGGCAAGGAAACGTTGTCGATTCCACCCAAACTCACCACTGGTGTTGACCCTTGGATGAAACGTCCTCCTCGAAAGGATTGCGCCAACATACTGGCAAACCACGACTCCACTCTGTTTTCTTCAGGCACACAACGAAAGCAATCCACAATCGCCCCCCAAATTTGCGGTCTCGTCGCCGCCACGATTGCAGACACTAATCCCTGAATGTGACTCCAGGCTGCCCCGGCCCAAAACCACCATTCCGAGAGATTGACAAAGTTTCCCAGTGTACAGATGAACAAGAAGGGTAACCACATGCCAAAGTAGATGACAATGACACGGCCAAAGAAAAGGGCCAATTCTCGGCGTCGTCCATGAGGTGGTAGCAGGTCATGTTTGAAGATTTGGTAGACGACATAGGTCGCGTATAGGGATCACCATGAATGCGGGAATAAAGAGAACCCAATAAAAGATGGTACTTGCTTGATCATATTCGTGTGGAAAGCAAGCAATGCCGTACAATAGCAGCGTATCATGGGGTAAAAATGGAATCTTCCAGACTCCCAGCAGTGACCAAAATGTGGCGTAGATGTAGACCACTGCAACTTGTCGGTAAACTTGGGTGCGTGTAGGAGGAAGGTAGCGCTCTCGTCTAGAGGATAATCGAAGTAATCTGTAAACTTCATAGGCAATGACAGCATTCATCCAGCAATTGGCCGTAAACCCAAAGGTCAAATAAAAGGCTTGAAAACTGCACATCCATTCGGAGTAGTAGCGTCCCTTGGCGGCCGATAAAGAACAGGTGAAGAAACAGAGAAATGAAGTCATAAAGTCTGGAATGGCAGTAAAGAGAATGTACAGATTAAAGGGATTCCTTCGGACTTTGCGATATCGCAGAAGCGAGAGTATCAAAATCAGACACGCCACGGCCACAACAGCATTAATGGTGGCTAGGAGAGCAAACTGTAGGTACAGGTTGCGGTCACCGGGCCAAGCGAGCTTCCACTGGAATCGATCATGACTCTCATCAATCTCCCATTGATGGAGTGGATCATCAGGGACTCTTTGGCTGCTCCCGATAGTATTGCTCGTTCCATTACTGGTCGCCATACCGATCACGGCGATCTTATGATGATGAAGCTTTTGGACTACTTGGGAGGTACAAAAGCTTCTTGATTTTACGCTGTCACATTGAAAGGACGAAGACATAAAGTGACGGGTAGCTAAGGTAAATATTGGACTGTTTTAGCATTCAATAGTTTTATCATTATCAAAACAGTTTACCGCATCTACCGGTACTATTAACTGTCTTCCGGTTACCCAAGATTTCAGATTATTTTAATAAATCGTGTGACAGCGCAGATACCGGTTGCCCCTCTGAAGCCTGATGCCGGTACCGGTAGCCACAATGACTCTATGAAAGAAGCTTTCTGCAACCGTTACTCCTCCTCTACCTGCCATAGCTGCTCTGCCAGCTAATAGCGCTAGCTAGCCCGTGGCTGCTCCTAACTAGCTACTACTAGTAGAGAGCTCTACATGCATGGAGCAGCTAGCTTTTTGGGTACGGTAGGGTGATTGCCGCCAGTCAGTCGCTCAAAGAGCTTCACAAGAAGGAGTTTCGTTGGCCTTCCAAAGACATTTAGATTCAGGTTGCCTGGAAAATGATACGGTATCATGCACACTATTCGTACCGACCCATAGAAGCTGATAATGCCACCCTGTCGCTATGAAAAACTTTGTAGCCCAACTATCTAATTGGCTAGAGAGTCGAGTCAGCGCCCCGCACCATTATCCATATCAAATTTTAACTCTCTAGGTTTATAACGTGATCGAAGCACACAACCTCGATTGACATTGTTGCATGGATACGGGGCAGCATTGCAGTGATATTGTTTGATTGATTGATTGATTGATTGATTCAGTTTAGAGGTTGCCACTTGCCACTGCTACCTTGAGCAACTCCCATGGGACTATCTACGAATTTCCATGCCCCACAGCTCTGCATGTATCCTCCCCAACAAGAATACAAATATAGTAAACAAACTTTCTTGATAGTCACAGCCATGAATGGGCTATTGTGATCCAACCAACCAGCAAGTACTAGTTGGGCTAGTAAAGTAGTTCTAGTTACGACCTGGTAGGTTCTGTGCTAATCCCCTCAGTTTGTGTACTGGGAAGTTCTCTTGGTTTCGTATTCCTATCCCCACCCCCGTCAGCGAGTTCTTCCTCCTGCTCTCGCATCAAGGATAGAACTTCCTCGTCCGATTCATCCCCACCATCCCCACAACCCTGAATTACATCATGTAGAGGCGGTGATCCTAGGGGCAAGGAAACGTTGTCGATTCCACCCAAACCCTGCACATGTGCTGACTCTTGGATGGAGCGTCGTCGAAAGGATCGCGCCAACCGAAAGGCAAACCACGAATCCCCCGACGGCACACGAGCTCTATTTTCTTCAGACACACACCGAAAGCAATCCACAATCGCTCCCCAAATTTGCGGTCTCGTCGCCGCCACCATTGCAGACACTAATCCCTGAATATGACTCCAGGCTGCCCCGGCCCAAAACCACCATTCTGAGAGATTGACAAAGTTTCCTAGCGTACATACGAACAAGAAGGGCATCCACATGCCAAAGTAGACGACAATGACACGGCAAAAGTAGAGGGCCAAGTCTCGGCGTCGTCCATGGGGTGGCAGCATGTTGTGTTTGAAAATTTGGTAGACGACATAGGTCGCGTATAGGATGGGGATTGTCATGAATGCGGGAATAAAGAGAACCCAATAAAAGATGGTACTTGCTTGATCATATTCGTGTGGAAAGCAAGCAATGCCGTACAATAGCAGCGTATCATGGGGTAAAAATGGAATCTTCCAGACTCCCAGCAGTGACCAAAATGTGGCGTAGATGTAGACCACTGCAACTTGTCGGTAAACTTGGGTGCGTGTAGGAGGAAGGTAGCGCTCTCGTCTAGAGGATAATCGAAGTAATCTGTAAACTTCATAGACAATGACAGCATTCATCCAGCAATTGGCCGTAAAGCCAAAGGCCAAATAAAAGGTCTGAAAACTGCACATCCATTCCGAGTAGTAGTGTCCCTTGGCAGCCGAAAAGGTACAGGTAAGGAAACAGAGAAATGAAGTCATGAAGTCTGGAATGGCAATAAAGAGAATGTACAAATTGAAGGGATTTCGTCGGACCTTGCGATATCTCAAAAGAGAGAGTATCAAAATCAGACACGCCACGGCCACAACAGCATTGATGGTGGCCAAAATGGCAAACTGTATGTGCAGGTTGTGGTCACTGGGCCAAGCGAGCTTCCACTGGAATCGATCATGACTCTCATCAATCTCCCACTGACGGAGTGGATCATCAGGGACTCTCTGGCTGCTCCCTATGGTACCGGTATTGCTCGTTGCATTATTGGTTGCCATACCGACCAACCGTCCCAGAGATCAGATGTGAAGCTTCTGGACTTGGCTCGTGGAGATGCCGAGATACCAATGGTATGGCACCTTGGTGGTACCGGTACCCCTTGCTTTCTTGCAATCAGCCGAAATGCATGCAGCCACGCCGGTTCTCGTTTCTCGTACCGATTTGGCACATTGCACCGTACAATGTCATGTACATGTACTCTAGCTAGCTACACTAGCTAGTACCAGGTGGAGGAAGCCAGCAAAAGACGGGTAGTTACGGTAAAAATAGCAAGAGTTAAATGTATCCATACTACAATACAGATTAGTATGTTTACCACATCTACCGTTTCATGACTTCGAGATGACCCGGGCCTTTGCAAACATGGTCACAAGACTCGGACACGGTCCGTGAAAAAGGGGGTCAACCCGCAACCGTATGGCATATCGTACATCGTACTACCACCAGCTGCCCTGTTGCTATTTTTTAAAATACCATTTTTTTGTTGTAGCTAGAGATTGGTGATCAATCAATTATAGTCAGCACCTCTTATTACCAATACATAGTGTATACCAAATTTTGATTTCCAAGTTACTAGCTAGACATGATCGATATCTCTGACATACCCCCAAAGCACACAACCCCGATTGAAATTGTTGCATTGGATACCGGACAGCAGTAATATGTTTGACTGTTTGATAGATTTGATTTGATTTGATTTGATTTCGCTGTTTTTGTTTACTTTTTGTGTTCCTCCTCGTCCTCGGAAGAATCGTATCGACGACGGCGATGATGCCGTTTTCGATCTTTTCGCTTGGATTTTTTCCGTCTAGTGGATCTCTTTTTGTAACTGTCTTCTTTGTCATTGTCGTCGTCTTCGGACGAAGAATCGTATCGTTTCGATTTTCGTTTTCGATCTCTGTGGTGTTTTCTGCGACTGGATTTCTTGCGGCGCTTTCTTTTTCTGTCCTCATCGCTGCTGCTGCTTGTATCATCTTCCTCTGAAGAAGAAGATTCCTCGGAATCATATCGTCGTTTGCGGCTGCTCTTTTTGGAGTCTTCTTTGGGTGACATTTTTTTGTCCGTCATCATGTCAGTCGTAGTGGGTTGTTTGGTTTCTGGATTTTGGTTGGCAGTACTAGTATTGTTGTTGATGCTGGTATTTGTTGTTGTTGTTGTAGGCATGGCAAATGGATTCCATCCACTTTTGGCACATTCTCGTTCTCCTCTCGAATGTCCCCAAATTCCACAGGCAAGACATCGTACATTCCGCAACTGTGCCCCCAACGGTTTGAACGAGACATTGACATTGGCGCCATTCATTCCTTTGGCCATGGGAGCGTTTTTGAGTTGTGGGAATCGTGCCACTTGTTCTTCGAGACTCAAACTGGCCGACGGATCTCGTTTTCCCACGGATTTCTCCAAGGCACTGAGCGCCTTGCGAGCTTCCTTCTTGTCGGTTTCGGTTCGTTCGATCGATGTCCCTTGCAAGACTGTGCCAAACGAGTGTTCTGTGGCGTCGTGCTGTTGCGACGATTCGGTTCCATCGTCGACTGTACCAGATGCCAGCATGAGACGAAAGGCAGCGGCCGCAGGGTCATCGCCGGGTTGAACTTGTAACAGATCATCCATCGTGTTATTACCGGTACTACTAGATGTTGTCGCTGCTGGTTTTTGGTCATCGTCTTCTTCTTGTTTCATTGGTTGTTGTTGTGTCGTCGTCATGCCCGGTGGAGCCTCGTACATGAATTGGAGTCGCAAGGAATCTCCTCGCGCTTGTGCCAATTCTTCATCGTCTCGTTCTCGTTGCAGTTGATCCTGTCGTTCTTTCAGTCGTTTCGCTTCCAGCTTTTGCTCTTGACGGGCCTCCCACACGCGCTTTTGATTCGTCATGTTCTGAGGGTTGAACCCCTTCTTGGACAGAAATTTCATTCCAGCCACCATCTTGACTTATGTCTTCCTATTTCTTTCTACTGTAATATCTCTTCTTTGTTTGGTAAGAAGAAGGAAGGTTGTAGTCCTTCTAAAGGTGAATGGCAAGGCGTTGATGAAGGCTGTTGACTTCGTTGTGGAGCGAAGAGCGTGTGTTGGTTCCAAACCCAACAACAGCGAAACCGCCTGGCCGTCGATGGTTTCTTGGGACTCGTCAACTCGTGACACAAATCAGCGAGAACGTTGTCATTTTTTCGGGCTTTTCAAGGAAACAGTTTGTCTCTCTTCGCTTTGATGCTCGTTGTCTTGCCATTATCATATGGCATAGTTGTGTTCACTTGCATGCATTGCATTGTGGTCGTCTTCCATTCTTCTCTTTGATACAATTGATCACTCTGTTTACAAGCCATGTCGTCAACTACTTCTTCCGAAAGCGATATGGGTGCAAATAAAGCGCGCAGCATTCGTCATGCCTCACAGCGAAAAGCCTACCATTTGACCGAGCAAGAGGATGATAAATTTGTCATTACAGAGACTCGCTTAGCATATGGGAAACAACGAACGTTTCCCAATAAATGGCAAGTACAAGTTTCCAATCGACAGCCCCTTCATACTTCTCAAAGACCTTCCAAATCCATTCTACGCCGCCGCCACCAAGCTACGGACGATGCTGGTGTCGATCAGCTTCAGGCCAGACTGGCCACCATGAGTCTCCACAAGAACAAAGTTCGATTCACCAATCGCAATGACCAGCGCTTCTACATCAAAATGAGCGAGAGTGTACAGCAATTGGTCAAAATGACAAACAATAGCCACAAAGGCAAGAACTGTAAGAACGATGCAACAACATCTTCAGGAGATTTTGTCTTGGTGGAAATCTCATCCTCGGAAGACGAAGAAGATTGCAACACTACAACAACTATCCAAGAGATCACCGAGGCAGTTCAGACTGGTCAACCTGTCAAGGAAATCCTTCATCTACTCCAAGATCATCAGGAACTAGCAGCCTTGCATCATCATCAGGACAACAAAACAACAGACAATGACGACTGGCTCGCTACACTCTATCGACAAGTCAAGAGTAAACTTCAACACGATGGCGACGACAAGTGCAACGACCGCCACAACCTGGAACAAATCAAAAAACTACTCAACATTTACAAGACTGCAGAGAGTGTCATTGCCTCCTCTCGAGCACTCAAACAATGGAGTCGATTCCAAGTTACCGTGGAATCCATATCCAACTTGCAAACACTCTCGTCTCCTGATGATGCTTTGGTGGCTGATATGGTGTATCGCAGCTCTTCTTCTTCCAACAAGCAACCAAAGCAGTCCAGTCAACCACTCGGGCCCACCACGGCCCTGGCCGACTTTATCGATGCCACTACTGGTCGCCAAATACAAGGCTCGCCAGCACCCAAGTACTGCATCAATCACAACTTTGGATTGACCGAGGAACGGCCAGAATTGACCTTTACAGTGTCCTCCCAAGGAGAAGAAGGCGATGCTACGACTCAACCAGTGGGACATGTTCGTATCCCCTGTGCTCTCTTTCGGTTCTTTTCCACACAACCAAAGGAAACGTACAGCCTGGATCAAAGGCTTGTCCCGGTACAACAATCATCATCCAATCAGTCTTCCAGTAGTAGCAACAACAATACTGTTCGTGTCAAGTTTGCCATTCAAAAAGTGCCTCTCAAAAAGGACTTTTTGAACAAGAAGCGGGCAGAAGTGGCCGTCAACTTACAAATGATTGTGGATTGGATTCATCGGTTCAATCAGGAAAACAAGGATAGTGCAGAACTTTCGTCTCATATTCTTTGTTCCAACAGCGGTCTCTCTCTGTTGCACGCCGCCATTTTGGTGCAAGATCGATCTTGTGTCCAACAAATCTTGGCATTGGGGGCCAATCCATTCCACAACAACAGCACTGCTGGGTCTGCCATGAACTTGGCATTGAACATGATGGATCGGTATGATCATCGTCCTCATGATTCCTCGACAACCTCCAATCATCAGAAACTCTTTTGGGACATGATTCAAGATTTGCAACAATCCACAATAAATCGTAGCAGCAGTCATCATGCTAGTTCTGGCACGCCTTCGACTCAGCAGCATTCCAAGGGCGAGGACGATGGCACGGAGAAGGAAAATCATCGAGGCCGCCGCAAGTTGAAACTGGGACACCATCATGGACCACATCATCGTAGCAAATCTTCCTCCAAGTCGCGCTCCAAGTCCAGAACGGACGGTGGCACGGAGAAGGAAAACCAGCGAGGCCGCAAGTTGAAACAGGGACAGCAGCATGCACCACAGCATCGTAGCAAGTCTTCCTCCAAGGTGCGCTCCAAGTCCAGAACAGGCAGTCGCCCCCTCACAGATCGAAGAAGCAAAGCTGGACAATGAGGAAAACCTTCGCCGTCATTTTAAAGATGAAAACACTTTGGAGGCAATCATGCATCGCTTAAAGTAATTAAAACAGTGTTGTGACAGGGCAGATTGACAACAAGTTAGTTGTGGCATACAACTTTAGTAACCATTGAGACCATGACCAAACCTCATTCGCCTCGTGTCTCGGCTTGCCGTACTGAATTTGATGGCTACCGCTGTTTCGTTTTGAGTTGCATGCATTCCCTTTCTAGTTCAAAACTACGGCGGTACTGCGCAGAACCTCAGCACCTTCCGAGACAGTAGAGGAAACGGCTGCAGCAACTGAGCGTTCTTACTAGCCAGATGAATCAATCGTTTGGGCACTGCCTCACTACCGGCATGTTCATAAGCACACGGCGGTACGATTAGCTAGCCCATTAAAACCAAGAAGCCGTGGCGACAACAACGCCATCCGTCCGACATGGTTCAGCACATTTGTACGCCATGCTTCTACCCATATATATACATGCATCGACATCCTTTCATTGTCCTTCGTTGGAATCTTCATTCTCTCTTATTTCTGCCATGATCAGCTTCCATCGTTGCAAGTACTTGGATGCCAAATGCCGTTGCATGTCCGACTTGAATTCATCCGGTGTCAAGGCACGATATCCTTGAAACTTGGCCGGGACACCACTAAAGAGTGCCAGCGGTGGTACCGGTTTGGTAACGATACTCTTGGAAGCAATAATGGCGCCCTCGCCGATGGGAATGTTCCCCAAGATACTGGCTCCGTGCTGCACGGTGACTCCATGACTAAGCTTTGGATGTCGATCACCGGACTCCTGTTGTTGAAGTAAGAATCGCAGTGAGTTTCTCTTCTCGTCATATCTGATACCGGCAGACAGACAAGACAAGAACAGGAGACTTACCTTTCCTGTTCCACCCAGCGTCACACCCTCCAAAATGGAAACATCATTTCCTAACACGGCCGTTTCTCCAATCACCACTCCAGCGGTTGCCCGCAAATGAATGCCAACTCCCATTTGTGCAGCAGGGTGAATGTCGGCGGAATATTTGCGACTGACAGTAGATTGCATGTAGTAGGCCAACCCGGTCCTTCCTGCCTGCCACAATCGATGAGCGAGCCTATGACACACCAGGGCATGAAACCCTTGGGAATAGAGAACGGCTGCCATGGCATTTTCGACGCTGGCACTGCGTGTCGATGATGCCACGAGATCGCAGGAAATGGCCCGTACATCGGCATCAATCAATTGTTCCATAAACAAATTCTTGAGAGCCGTGGCTGGAATGAGTTCCGTGGCAATTTCGTGTGAAATGACACCCACAATGGCTTCCAGCAGAGACGACTTTGACAGTATCCCCGTGTAGAGTAAGGGACCTGCATTGGCATCATTGGCCGACAGGGCCATTGTGGCTTCTAGCTTGACTTGTTCCCACAGCGGATCGTAGAGAAGAAGCGCTGCTGCGGCGTCTTGATTGTTGTTGAGCTTTTTGTCGTCATCCAAAGCCGCATTCCATCGGAGAGACTCCAGGTATTCTTTGACTTCGGGACGCGTAGAAAGATATAGATTGTTGGACTGGTCAATTTCTACCAGAGGTAACAGTGGATCAGCAGCACCGTTGGGTGGATGGGAAAACAATCGAGAACTATAGAGAGCAGAGAACCAACGCTGCTGGCCTCCAAAGAATCCAGCCTCGCATTCTCCTGCAGCTAGCAAAGTGGCAACACACAAATTGATCCATAGAGGTCTTGCTCTCAGGCAACAGGGAAGTGCAAGTCGTTTCGGCATCATCATCTTGATGTGTGCAAAGCGGTTGGAGAAATGGTAATGGTGTGATCGTCATGCCAATAAAGATTGCAGCCTGCAGAGCTGCAATCTTTTTGGTTGGAACGCGTTTCACGGGGGTTCACCCTTGTCCAGGACCAAGCTAGAAATGGCCCAACAGCGAGAATCTCGCTGTGCCACCACGTGATTTCACCGCGGAAGCTGTTGCGGCCGATTCTCCCTTTCGGGCCATAGCAAACCGTCCAACCTCAGTTACGATCATCAAACCATCGATCATCTCATCTCTCATCAGACTGTGTCACCGTCCTCTCCAAATCTATACCACTCGCACCATGGAAACTCACTGGGGGGGGTGGTTTTCCAGAATATGTTTACTTGTCAGAGCTCCAACACCAGTCTGCTTTGCATAACTTGGTTGTCACAGAGGCGCCACTAAAGATGATCCAGTTGGTCTATGAAGCAGACCCATCTGCCATGAATGATGATGTCTTCCTGGTGCCTGTCGACATAGCACAAATTCTGATGTGATTAAGTTTCTCAAGGAGCTCGTAGAACCCAGTGTGTATTCACCAGCAAAAATTGCCAAAATCATGATGTATCTATTGGAGATCGACCTCGACGACGAATATGAGAGCAATTTTTTGGCTCTCTTTACGATATTTCCAGAAGCCGCATACTACCGGTACAAAAAGAAAGGTCGAGTGTTGTGTCCTTTTGAAGCCGTGTTTAAAAAGTTGGAATGGTGGGGGATCAATTCAGTGATGCAGCTCTGTGTGACCTGATACGGCACATTCCAGGTGATACCAAGGTCATCAAAATTATGAGTTACGATTTAATTAGTGAAGCTGAAGTGAGGACACAGTGCAGATCTTTATTGGTGGCGAAGTTGAAAGACTTGAGAAACCTCCAAGAATTAGAATTGCCTATTGACGTGGGAGACGAAATGGATCAAAATCTGGTCGAAGCAATTTGCCACTCCATATCATCTGGGCCATTGAAGACTCTCAGAATCAACAGCAGCGGATTTGATGATGTATATGAAGAGCCACAGGGAGACAGCGAAGAGAAAGACAAACAGAGTGGTTTCTTTCTGCCAATTCTAGATGCTGTTGCTGCTTCTGGGCTTAAGGATTTCTGGCTGCCAGACTGTTTTAATCTTGCGGAAGAGTACCGAGATCGCATGATTGAGATCCTACAACGGAATACATCTCTGACAAGTGTCACCATTGGGAATTTCGCCAACCACGGAGTTGGCTGGGTTAGAATTTTGTTGTGGTCGTCCCTTGTTGAAAAGGTGTGAACTTGAACGCACAATTTCTCTAATTTAATCAATATCCTTCCAGCTCTACTGTCTAGTAGCGGCCTATTCGTTTCAGTTTTCTTCTTTCTCTCTCGTTTGATTGTGAGCTCTACAACT